CATGTCCCCACTGTCCCCATCCTTGTGTTCCCTCCATTCCCACCGCCATGGCTCCGTCCCTGCTTCATCTCCACGACCACCCTGTGTCCCCACCACCTCGGGGTTCCCCATCGCTGTCTCCCCGTCCCTGCACTGTCCCCACGACCCCGCTGTCCCCGTGATGGAGACACCTCGGTGACACCCCTCGGTCCCCTCGGCAGATCCTGAGCACGGTGGAGGCGCAGGCTCCCAGCACCCCGGGGCCGTCGGGCTGCGGCCCTGTCCCCGTGGCTGTGCCAGTGGTGGCCGTGCCGGGGCCGGGGGTGGCGGCAGCGCTGCCCAATGGGGCACCCCAAGTCCCTCCTGCGGCCGACGACAGCAAAACCAACCTCATCGTCAACTACCTGCCCCAGAGCATGAGCCAGGAGGAGCTGCGGAGCCTCTTCGGCAGCCTCGGGGATATCGAGTCCTGCAAGCTCGTTCGCGACAAGGTCACCGGTATGGGACGGGGGAGATGGGACATGGGGACAAAGGGCACGGGGAGATGGAGACACGGGGAGATGGGACATGGGGATACAAGGACACGGGGAGATGCGACACGGGGAGATGGGAGCTTGGGGAGCTGGGACATGGGGACCAGGGCAAATGGGACACGGGGAGATGGGGCATGGGGACATGGGTACAGGGGCAAATGGGACATGGGGAGTTGGGACACAGGGACATGGGGCATGGCGATATTGGGGCGTGGGGACATGGGGAGTTGGGATGTGGGGATGCAGGCAGATGGAACATGGGGAGATGGGACATGGTCAGGTGGGACATGGGGATCTATGGGGTCTGGGACAGGGGTGGGCATGTGGGTGGGATTGTGGGGACCGGGACAACTTCAGAAACCCTGCTGGGGACGTTCAGGTCCTGCAAGCTTGACCACAGGATCCCTGGGGGGTACAGGGGTGTGGGGACACGTGAGGACCCACAGGGACAATGATGAAGATGGGGTGGAAATGGACCTTGGGGACAGGGTTGGGGAGGGGACAGGGACTGGGGAGGGCATGAGTGGGACCGGTGCTGGTGCCACCCTCGGTGCTGACCCCCTGCCCCAGGACAGAGCCTGGGCTATGGCTTTGTCAACTACGTGGAGGCAGGTGACGCTGACAAAGCCATCAGCACCCTCAACGGCCTCAAGCTGCAGACCAAGACCATCAAGGTGCCAGACATCGGGGTCCCTTGGGGCGGTGGGCACCGGGGGGGGTGTGCCTCAGGGAGGAGGGTGGGGTGGATGCTGGGGGTCCCTCAGGCCAGTGGGCACCAGGGGGTCCTTGGGGATGGAGGACACTTGGTTGTGTCCTTGAAGGGGGAGGAAGATGCTGAGGTCCATGGGGTGGGGGTCCGTGAGTGGGAGGCAGCTCTGACACCCGGACACAGAGGTCCCCAGGGCTGACACTCCCGCCCCCCACTCCCCCCCCCTCCCAAGGCGACCCATG